AGAGAGAGAGAGAGAGAGAGAGAGAGAGAGAGAGAGAGAGAGAGAGAAAGTGGGAGAAAAAAAGCACACACGAAAACAGAAGACGAAAATAATATGTATATACGGCCACTACTTTGTTGAAAAAATGAGAAAACGACTTTGCTGGGAAAACAACACGTTGAAAATAATGCAAACCAAGAAGATGTGTAAACGTTTTATATATTAACATGTATATTTTCTTTTATTCGTTTCCTTGTTGTTCAACTTGATTTGGATGGTTTAAGTTTGGCGTACACAATAAAATGAAAGGAAACAAACAAATGTTAAAAAAAAGGTTTGATATGAAAATTCATGAGAAAAGTCACCACAACACACTACAACATCCAACACGGTCACGACTCGTTTTCAAAATGCGCTGCCATACCGAAAAATGGAAGTGCTTTTCTATGCGAGCATTCAATGTTGAACGCGTTGCAAGCGCACGCTACAAATACACCGACAAACATGACAGAAACGATATAATAAAATACATGTTTCCCATGTTTCCCATGCTTCCATATTGTATCACTTTCGAATGGATATGTGTGTGTATGGGTGAATGAATATGTGCTGTGTCTATGTATGCGATATGGTGAGTGAATACGGAAAAGGTATACCGTTGCCTTTGCCTTCTAATGTAGCCAGATTTTACCGTGCTGGTTTCGGAAATAAAATGTGCTCCATTCACCAAGTGCACCAATACCAGTGTCACCACCATAAACGACACGAACACACATACACACGAACAGAGTCACACAGTGTGTAGCGCGCATCAGGACTGAATGCTAGAATGAAAACATTTGTTTTAGCGTGTTCTTCTGTTTTCGAGGCAAAGTGGGGCGCATTGTACGATTGTGAGCTGATACTCATTATTCCTGTAAGCCAATCCAATTGGTGTTAATGGAATTTGGTGAATGTGATGCGATACAGCAACCAGTGCCGATTGATGTATGTGTGTGTATCGCAAGTTTACTACGAACCCTGCACGTAGATACGCGTATACATGGCCACGTCAAGTATGCTTGAACATACCAACACCGTGCTTGGTACAAGCTCCAAAACATACGCGGGAAACACAATTCGGTAGCTTCCTTTCGGCCACATGCTTCCTTCCATTCAATGTTCAAGCTGGTATTTATGTGTGTGTGTGTGTGTGTGTGTGTGCATGTGGTGGTGCCCATTGTATGGCCATTGTTTGTTTTCGTTACTTAAATTTGTACACCGTTTTTATTTAATACATTTTTCATATGTATTTATGAAGTATTTACTCATTTCGGTCTGCGACTGCGCGCACACACAATATGCTGCTGCTTCTAAATATTATTGCGGTGTATGTGTGTGTGTGGATGTGTCATTTCTGTGCACTTGTTTGACTTGGCGTAATCATTACGAAACAACATCGTCGTTGTCATGCGATGCGTTTTCTTCGGTTGATTCAAAGCAATTCTAATTGCGAGAGTTGTGTATTGATCCAGTGATGTTTGACCAATGCTTTCAAAGATCAACACATTTATTCGAAAAGTAGCGAGAGAGAGAGAGAAAAAACTAACGGTTCACACAGACCCATGAGCATTTCATGTTCAACCGTCACATTAATATCTTTATATGGATATGTTGCTGGAATCAAGCCAATTGGGGCCTCTTTTTCACATTTTCTCTCTCTTTTCCACTCGCTCACTCTCGAATCTCATGCTAAACCTAGAGGGTTGCCAGTAAGCAGATGAAATAGCACGTGCACACTTTCATTTTCGCGTGTACTTTCGATCCATCCTAATGAGTGTTTTACAGAGCATGGACAACACATGCAGCTTTCATCCATATAGATTTTTATACGTTGAGCCCTCATAAATAATATCATATTGTCATTCAACCTAATCGAATACACAAAACTATGCACGAGACAAGCGGAATGAAAGGGACACACAAAAAAAGAACAGAGCTATAAAAGCCGCTACTTGTAAACAATGCCAGTAACTATAGAATCCAAATTTTAATGCAAACATCGAAGAAAAAGAGAAGACGATCCAAAGAACTAGGAAAGAATGCGTAAGGAAAGTTTGTGTCATGTTTGCTATTTTCTCACTTTCCCTTCTCTCTCGCTCTCTCTCTCTCTCTCTATTTCTCACTTCCCCCGCTCGTCTTAGCTATCGAAGCGTTTCCGACACGGCAAACGACACTCAGTTTCAAACTCTATCGACGTGTTTTTATATTTACTCTCAGCTTGTATACACAATTTTATAGCTATTTTCCTTCATTTGATGTTACTTTGTGTCTCTTGGTTTTCTCTATCGGAACGCCGGGTCCACACACGAGAAAAAAAAGCGCACACACATTTTTTATGTCACTGTTGCGCTTCACAAAATTCGAATTCTGCAACAACACAATACGACAACATTGTTAAGTGTTATGTGTATCCATCGATCCAAGAGAGACCGCGAAAGAGAGAGAGAAAGAAACGCTTAGGTTGACATCGTAAATATGACCCTGGCTTTTGTTGCTTTTATGCGCTCTTCGCCACTCACCCAGTGTAGCCTCTTGTCTTCTCTTTTTTTCCCTCCTCATCTTCGTTTCTTTCTTTTTTTGCATGGCTCATCGGTATCGATATCATTTTTATTTATATTCGCTTTCCATTCGAGGCTTTGTAATCGAGGCCCGTTTATGGCACATCTTCTTACATTCTATTCGAATGCTTATTTAAATGAACAACAACAAGAACAATTTCTTTGGCCAATGTTCATCGTCGTCGTCGTTGTTTTGTTTGAGATGCGATACCTTTGTCTACTTGATCTATTTTTGATCATTTTCGGAGCACAATGTGATGAGCCATTCTTTTTTACCGCTTACAAGCTTACATTAAGCACATAGCCCTGGGCGCATTTTCGGTTATTTCGGTTTGTGAGTGTTTACGTATTTCCTGTTTGCATATTACGCCGTGTGTTCGACCATCGTTGAATATTTTTCGTGATGTGACGAAGGTCCTTCCTTTCAAACGGAAGACCGAAACACGAAAGATACAAGGAAAAAGCGATACACACGTTTATGTGACAAACGGCAAATTCAATTGGCAGCACGGCTAATTGTAAAATGATATACAGTTTTGTGACATTGAACGCCGCAACCCGATGTGTATGTAAGTGTGTGTAAGTGTATGTTTGCATGTGTGACGATTGCGAATAAGTAAATAACCATGGATAATGTTCAATTATAGGCAATAGTCTTAATCACAGTGGCCATTACATCATATCATCAAATAGTTTGCACGGACGGTGCATGGCAACGCTTTTTGGAAATATCGTTAAAATGAAACGCACCTCATGCAACATATACACTCTGCGGCTCCCACTCACACCATTCCCTTCACCCACTCACCCGATGTGTGCCTCTTCTCTTGATAATTTCGTTTTGTAACGGTAATTTATGTGTGGCTGAAATGGTTCTCTCTATGTTTTTGTTGCCGTTGTTGCTATTGCTTTGGTCGCTCGTGCTGTATTCCATTCCCTGTTTTGCCTGTAGAGATATTTTCATCGGATGTGTGCGAATCAACAATCGTACAAACAAACTAATCGTATGCCTATGATAAAAGCATAAAGAGAACGAAACGTACTATAACAAACAAGTGAATGAGAGTATATATAGAGACAGCAAAAGCAGGAGCGATAGAGCAAGAGACAGAGAGAGAGAGAGAGAGAAAGAGAGAGAGAGACAGAATGACAACTAACGCCGAATAGCAACGGAAGAAAACACATTGCCGCACATAATTCGATTTTCGCTTTCTGTTTTGAGCCAAATTTCATTTGAGCCATTTTCGTTCAAATATATGCGCATAATCCCGCATATTTGTGTGTTCCCCCCGACAAGTGAGATAGCGATTGAACGGTTTAAGCACAAAATTTAAGGAATAAAAGATAGCGAGACAATTTGTAGTTACATTAGAATGATTTGTTTGCTTCATATACATTTTAACCGTGTGCGCGAGACACTTCACTTCATCTATTTAAACAAAGCAGTAGTTAATATTGTTTACGATTTTTCGTTCATTGCAAACCGTGTCTAATGATTGAATTCTAATCGATTTCGTGAATGGCTATATATATAAAATAGCCAACAATTGGCTTTAGTGTATCGGTGTATCTGAATGGTTTTTAGATCCCCCCATTCAATGGTGGACAAAACTTTTGTCACAAAAGCAAAATTGGCAAATAATTCTTATCGGATTGGTTGGTTGGTTGGTCGGTCGATCGGTAAAACAGTCTCTTCGCGCCGAAATAAATGCGGAAACTGAATCAAATGGGCAATGCAATTGTGTGAGAATAATTGGATGGAACGCATTACAAGTCCCAATTGAAATTTACGATTGAGGATATGATGCGTATTGGGCCAAATAAGCCGGGAAAACAGAGAGAATCGCAATGAATGCGCCAACAACAACTGTGATTTATTCAAAACTGGAATGGAATGTCGGTGTTATAGGCGAAGAGATAAGGCAACGACAGTGGAAACAAAAAGCTTCTCTTACGCTATGAATTAAACGTAAGGCCTCCTATACAAACACACACATAGAGAGAGGGAGAATGTCACCATTTCTCTGCCGCAAAAATGTCATATCACATAATGGCAATTACAGTTGGCAAAACAATGGACATCATTGAACTTGGTGGATAGTGGTTTTGGTCGGTGCGCTCATCAACATATTCTTCTTTTCGGCAGTAATATACGCGACAGCATATCCAGTTACTGTTATGAAACTACCCGAAACAGAAAAACCGCCATCACCGACGACGACGACGACGTTGAACAAAAACAACAAAATGGAAAATTATGGTGGATTCAAGTGTAGCGGCGGCAACGACGACAATCCTGGCACAGTGCGACTTTGATTTCACCGTGAGCACTTACATTTTATGGTTGAGCGGTAACATCGTACCATATTCATCCACAATTTATCGATGCTTCTGCTCTGTATCTTGCTATCTCCCTATTTTTGGGCTGGAATTTTTATTTCCGTCATCCGTAAAGTATGCTTGCTTTTTAGCACTACATGAAATGTAGAGCTACTAATCTGCTTCTTTTTTTTCTCAATACTTTTTGAGTGTTGAAACAAATTATGGTGAATTTGAATTTTATGCTCATATTTTTTATTTAATTTAAAACAGTGGCAATAACGACAAATAAGTGCATAGTATCTCAAAGCTCTAATCAAATTTTTATTATCAAATGTTGTTTAAAAATTACATAAATTTTTCGTATAATATTTTCTGAGTCTTGAACGGAACTAAAGTTATTATAGATTCTTT